AAAGGAGATAGATTGCTCATAAATATGGATTTTTGATTTTTGTCCTTTTCATTTAGCACGTGCATTTGGGTGATTATGATATTATCTGGAAGCCAATGAGGCTCTTATTCATTTGTCAACTAACAGCATCTACTCTCTTCCTGTCCCAGTAATATATACAATTAATATTTGCCCTTCAACATGCACACCCTCATTATTTTCTCTTCACCAGGAGTGGAACCAACACTCCTGTTGGTTCCACTCCTGGTAATTTGTCCATCCCATGGACTCATCCAACTTCCAATCGAGGTTATTACAGCCCTAAAATGGGAATTATAAAAATATTCATCACCCTGACTCCCAATGCACACTGCAAGAAGCAGCATATGTCAAATTCATTGTAGTCACTTTGTTATGTATTATTCATTTTTCCCTAAATAGGTGCAGTTCATCTGTTCTGGCAGTTGACCAGATCTGATTTGGTCTAATCCACCACCCAGACAAGACAACTTGTACTCATCAGCTGGAAAAAGGTTTCTGGACATGTAATACTTGTGTAGAAGAGTGCCTTTCAGCTGGTGTTGCTTGTTACCTGGTTGCATACAACAGCTCTTGAGATCCTCTTTTCTCAATGGCTATTGTATGCAACCATTCAAGGTATAGGGGACCTCTAGTTTTCACACTGACAATTCTTGCCCTGCTTCAAAATGTTACTGAGGGAAGCTCTTGTCCATTAGTAAGAGACTTACACTTCTACTTTCAGATCATTGAAATGACTGCATTGAGAGATTGATTCTTTGCTGAGCCTGAGAGTAAATCCACGAGTGTCTGTGATTGTATTTCATCAGTTGAATGTTTATGTAAAGTCACTGAATCCAATAAAAATGGGTAAATCAATGTTTAAATCAACTTGGGTCTGCTTTAACTTAAACAGCCAAATGCATTCAGGTCCTGGAGTCTAATTTGATCTTATTCCTATAGTACTGTGGAATGAATGCAGCCTTACAGCCCTCTAGTGGTGTTTTGCAACCATAATTTGTTGTTGCTCATTCGTTCAGTCGTTTCCAACTCTTTGTGACCTCATATGCAACCATAACATGTATGTAGAAGTATCTCATTTTAACCAAGTCTTTTATCATGCTAAAAGTGGGAAATACCTGACCTGTAGGCAGGCATGTAGCCGGGGGGGGGGGGTCTCAGGTGGCTTCAGCCCCCCCCCGAAATTCTCATGGTGGTTCGCGAAAAGGCTTGCTAGGCTAGACCCTCTTTCACTCAGACTCAGCCCCCCCCCCTGAAACTCAGCCTCCCCAAACCCCCCCTGAAAAAAATTCACCCCCCACCCCCCGCCCGGAAATGAAATTCTGGCTACGGGCCTGCCTGTAGGCAATCCATGGCTTTTGAGAACTGGATACATGCTAGATATGTATGAAACAGATCACACCCATGGTTCTCTCCTTCTTATATCTACTGATTAAAAGTAAATACTTTCTGTATACATTTCAGATTTCAGTATTAATGTCAAAAATACATAGTATGATTTTACATAGGATTTGTGCTACATTGGAGCAGTAAAAACGAATATCACTTAAGTAAAATAAACATTAAAAATTAAATAGCCAGAAAAATAAAATAAGGTGTAAACACTAAACTAATCTGGGAATCTGCTATTGCAACACATCCAATGAAGTGGTTTAAAACCAGTATTAAAAAGATTAAGACTAAGTACATTCCAGTCTACTTGGAATACTCGAAACTCATTCCAGAAGCATGTTAAAGAACTGGTCCAAGAGTCCAGAAGAGCCCTGACTCCCAATGTGACCATCATCCTACTTTCTTTGGTAGTTAACTACCAAAGTATGCTTTATTATGCCAATTGTTTGCCTTAGATCCATGATGGCGAGCCTATGACACGTGTGTCAGCACTGACACGCGTAGCCATTTTCGATGACACACAGCCGCATGCGGCTGCATACAGAGAAGATGGGGCCACATCCCAAGAAGGACATTTCATCCTCAGCTCCTACACCAGCATTTTTCTATAATGCCGAGATAGATGGCATTATAGAAAAAGCAGGTAACTTAAATAATTAGTTTTTGGTTTATTAAATACAGTTATATATTACAATAATATATATTTTTTAAACTATAAATATCATGAAATTATGGGTTTTTCTCAAAGTGACACCCCACTCGAGTTATGCTCGGTTTTTTGGAGAGTATTGACACACCAAACTCAAAAGGTTGCCCATCATTGCCTTAGATAGTTGAGCAAATAGTTTTTATGGTTGCCACTCACTAGCATATGGGAGAAAACTGGCGGTTTGTTGGTAATTCCGTGTAAGATTTGAGTTCGTATGCAGCATCGCTGTTGACTTCCATGGATTTCCGAGAAAACAGGAGCCTTACCTCTCAGACCTTTTCTCCAACACATCAGTTCAAAAGCATCTATCTTCCTTTGCTCAGCCTTCCCTATGGTCCAGCTCTCACATCCGTAGGTTACTACAGGGAATACCATTGCTTTAACTATGCAGATCTTCATTGCCAATGTGATGTCTCTACTCTTCACTATTTTATCAAGATTGGACATTGCTTTCCTCCCAAGTAGTAAGTGTCTTCTGATTTCCTGGCTGCAGTCTGGATCTGCAGAAATCTTTGCACCTAGAAATACAAAGTCTGTCACGGCATCCATGTTTTCTCCCTCTATTTGCCAGTTATCAATCAGTCTGGTTGCCATAATCTTGGTTTTTTATGCTTAACTGCAACCCAGCTATTGCACTTTCAGACAAGGTAAAGAGTTGCTATCTCCCAAATCATCCACTGAGAGCAAAAGCAGAGCAAAAAGGAAAGTGGTTGAGCAGTCCCTACAGCTTTTTGTTTTAAAAAGCTTAGATCTATAATTCTGCTCACTCGAAATTGAAATGAGCATTGTGCAAGAAAAAGAAAATCTTCAGTGCATTTTGGAATAAACTTTCAGGTGAACTCTTGAAGATTTAAAACATTTTTGTTATCCTGAGTGCTAGAAGAACCTATTTCAGCTTTTGGTATCAAGGTTTCTGTCAAAAAATTAATGCACTGGAAAATTACTTGGTAACTCAGATGTACCTATTTAGCTGTTGTTTTGTGAGTCTTACGGTGTTTTCAAATGGAAAGGCTTCCACTTGAGAGGCCTCAAATGGCATACTCGTGTACCTTCTGCAGCCTACCAGCTATGGCTGTTGTCAAATTGCACTAATTCTACAGTGCAGATTTGGCCATAGGAAAAAAAAAGAAGAGAGTCATCATGACACTGTTTTCCAAATGGATTTAGATGATGTTAGACTAGAGCTCCCAGAATCCTTAACCATAGGTAATTTTTTTAATAATATTTTTTATTGAGATATAGTGTGATTACATGGAAAGTGGGAGAATATTGTGAAGGAGATAGGAAAGTAGGAAATGAAAAGACACTCCACAGTCCCATGGAGTCTAATCAAAGGTTCTCCTGGAAGAGAGAAAAATAATAATAGTAGTAGTAGTAATAATAATAATAATAATAATACAAATAGAGATAAAAAGTAGGGTAAAATTAAAAAAATTAAAAAATATATAAAAATATATATTAACAAAATAAAAACTTTGGTTGGACTTCCATCTGTTCATTGAAGATCTTTTGTATAAGAAAAAAAAGAATATAAAAAAGTTTGTTTCTCTCAAATTAGTCAAGATTGCTTTCCTGTTTTGTTACTATTGTATTTCATATTGTTGTCCTTCAGGAAATGACCTCTATTTTTTGTTGTTTGAAATAATTTTTCACCAAGTCCCAGTTTGTATGTTTCTTTGGTATTCCTTCGTTTGGCAATAACCAATATGTTAATTTATCCATGTTCATTATTTCCAGTATTTTACTTTGCCATTCTTCTCTTTGTGGTATTTCTTTCTGTCTCCAGTTCTTAGCATATACAATTCTGGCTGCGGTGGTTAAGTAATTGAAGATAATGTCTTTGTTTTTATCTCCTTCAACATCAAACATTCCCAGCAAAAAGAACTCTGGTTCCTTTTTTAATCGTATTTTGAGAATCTTTTGTATGTCAATGTCAATTGTATTCCAGAATTCCTTGGCTTTTGGACACGACCACCAAATATGAAAAAAGGATCCTGTTTGTTGCTCGCATTTCCAACATTTATTGGATGTATTTTTGTAGAATTTTGAAATCTTTTGCGGTGTAATGTACCATCTGTGTATCATTTTTAACAGATTTTCTCTCAGATTGTAGGAGTATGTATATTTCATTTTTTGATTCCAAATCTTCTCCCGTTGGTCTAAGTGAATTTGACCTATATTTTGTGCCCATTTAATCATGGATTCTTTTATCTGTTCTGTTTCTGTTGGCCATTCTAATAATTTTTTCTAGATTTTTGTGATTTTTTTGTTGTTGGTCTTCATAATAATGTCCCAAAAGCCATCTCTGTCTCCAAAGTTTAGTTCTTTATCGATTTTATAACAATCTAGTATTTGTCTATAGTTTAACCATGATAGGTTGGTAAAATTTTCTTTTACCTCTTTTTCTTCTGGGGTGCATTTGGCATTATGAACTATTTTGAATATACTCCCCGAAAGATACCAGCTTTGAGTTAAATGTCACATTCTGATGGGGGAAAAGGACAGATATGGACACACAAACAAAACAGCAGAATGCTAGGACTCATTTTCTAAAGCCACAATTCTTTTGTTTCTGCCTTTCCCTCCCCTTCTAATCCACCTAGTAAAAGCAGGATATTTCTCCCCCTTTGCTTTCACGAGTCTGCACACAATTGAAACAGATGAGAAATAATGCAAAAATGCTGACAGAACTGAAAACAAGTAAGCCACTGCAATGAGGAGGTGGGGCCCTTTCAGTTTATTTAGTTTCTCCCCCAAACAGTTGGGGCTTGGAATCATAAAACAGTGAAGTTTGTGAGTTATTTAGGATGTAGTGCGAGAGCTGAGAACACTCCTGTCCTTCTTTCCATTCCAAATCCAATAAACATTTCATGCGGAAACTGGGCAGAGAACTATTTGGACTGAGGGGAATCTTTGGTGCCTCACACTCTTTACTATACTATGTACAGGAGCAGCTTTTTGCGTGAAATTCGCAAGGAGAAGTATGAAAGGTCAGACACTTATGAGGAGCTGCCAGAATCATCAGAATTTGGCAGCCTGGCCCAGGCTCAAGGCCTGGAAAACCTGCAGGAGCTCAATGAGCGCTTTTCCAATTATATCAATCGGGCTCGGGTACTCGAGCAACGCAATGCCATCTTCCGCAAGCAGCTTGAGACGTTCCAGCGCATGGAGGAGTTGACCGGGATAGAAGAGGCATTCACTGCCCAAATTGATCTCAATCGCCAGCGTGTTCGTGAACTAGGCACTGAAAGGTCCAAACTGTCACGGGAGGAGAAAGATGCCCAGCGCATGCTGGATGAATTCCGTAACAAGTAAGTTGTCGGGAGGAGAAGGTGATGTTCACTATTGCCAGCTCTGAAATATTGCCAGATATCATGGTGCTTGAGTTAGGACCCTGGTCCAAAGCAATATACAGAATAGGATGGGCATCTGTAGCAGGTAGGAGAGGGCAATTCATGGAGGGGTGGGGGTCTCAAACTGGATGGGCAGCATCGAACTGTTGAGACAGATATGATCCCTCTCTTATTTAGAATGATCAATGTACTGAAGGAAAAGTAAAACTCCAAGCAATTTGGCTGCTCTCTTTCAGATTCTTTCTCCAAAAGAGATTTAGCATCGTCCGGGGGGGCCCTACTCTCGATCCCGCCAGCCTCACAAGCACGGCTGGCGGGGACGAGAGACAGGGCCTTCTCAGTGGTGGCCCCTCGGCTGTGGAACGCCCTTCCCGCAGATATTAGATCGGCCCCCTCCCTGCTGGCGTTCAGGAGAAGAGTGAAGACCTGGCTCTTTGAACAGGCGTTTAATTAAGCAGTGCAATTAATTGATTGATCTTGGAACTTGGAATAATGACGAGGAGATCGGATTATGACTTTACTGATGAGACGTGATGGATTAGTTATATGGATGTATTGATGTTATATTGATGTACTGATGTATTGTTATATTGATGTAGTTGCCTTAGATACTGTTTTAATTGCTAATGTTGTGCACTTTGTATATTGGTTTGGTTGTAAACCGCACTGAGTCGCCTACGGGCTGAGAGAGTGCGGTATACAAATAAAGTAAATAAAGTAAATAAATAAATAGCACAACCCTAAGAGGACCCCGAGGACATGTGTAAAATAACTAATAAAATTCTTATGTCTTAAAAGAAATGGCATTAATTTTGTAAACAAAAATGTGCACTCTGATGGAGTTGGTGGCAATAGATAATATTCAGTCAACCCCCTGCCAATAAGTAGAAAATCACATTCAAAGCACCCTCGACAAATGGCCATCCAGCCTCTGTTTAAAAGCCTCCAAAAAAAGAGCCTCCACCACATCCCAAGACAGAGAGTTCCACTGCTGAAAAGCTCTCACAGTTAGGAAGTTTTTCCTTATATTCAGGTTGAATCTCCTTTCCTGCTGTTCCTTCTGCTCCCCATTATAATCATTTTCTTAAAATTATGTATTTTTTTCTGTTATTATCATAAATGATGAAGAATAACGGCCCTTATATGGCCAGGGTCCATCCTATCTTAGAGACCATCTCTCCTTCTTCCATCATCGGAGGTCGCCACATCCTTCCCAACACGATTTACTTTATATACCGGGTCCTAGAGAAGTGCATTTGGAAAGTACCAGACGCAGGGCTTTTTCTATTTCTGCCCCTGCCTTATGGAATTCCTTGCCTCCCTATATGAGAGCCATGCGAGACTTAGGGCCTTTTACTCTAGCACTTAAGACCTGGCTTTTTACTAGAGCATTTGATCTATGTTAATTTATTAATATCTGTTTGTATGTATTTTATTCTGTACAATTTCGCTATGTAAATCGCCTAGAGCATCTCGGATGGAGGGCGATTAATAAGTAATTAAATATGATGATGAATTATAATAGTTGACTTATTTCATAATTCTGATCCCCTTGCATATGTTTATCAGCCGTATCCTAATTAAAGTCACTTCTGCATATCAGGCACTTTTGAATATAATCTTAAACCAAGTTTGACTCTCTTTGAATGAATCCAGGTTTCCTGTAATGGTCAGACACTCCTCTTTCCACCTTCTGACCACACATTAGCAAGCGTAAATTGGAAATGTTTGCATCAATTTTTAGTTAAGAAGATAACCACTAGAACTATATCATCACTAGAAATTGTTCATTGTTCATTGTTCATTGTTCATTTAATTATCCAAGGAACTGTAGTTAACATAGTCCATGGTTAGTTTAAAACAAGCCATGGTTTGATATTTTTTATTTATTTATTTATTTATTTATTTATTTATTTATTTATTTCGGGCACTTCTACCCCGCCCTTCTCAACCCCCTAGGGGGACTCAGGGCGGCTTACAACCGGCACAATTCGATGCCAACAATTCAACAGATAAAATACATAACAACAATAACCACAAGTTAAAACATTCAATTAATATAATAACAACTAAAAGCCAATCTAGTGGCCAACGTTCACCGAGTTCTAAAATCCGTAAGTCCATTCAGCATTACCATAGTCCTTTCCAAATTCTGGTCATCATTACATTGTCAGTCTGCCAGATTACCCAAAGACCTGGTCCCATATCCATGTTTTCAGCTTCCTTCTGAAGGAGAGGAGGGATATTGATGACCTAATTTCCCCAGGGAGTGAATTCCACAGGCGAGGGGCCACCACTGAGAAGGCCCTGTCCCTCGTCCCCACCAGCCTCACTTGTGATAGAAGCGGGGCTGAGAGCAGGGCCTCCCCAGAAGATCTTAAACTCTGAGGTGGGACATAGAAGGAGATACATTCGGACAGGTACGCTGCTTTAGTGTTATATTTGAACAAAGCTATTAAATGTCGACGTGGAACTAGAAAGCAGCGAGTCATTTCACGATTTATTTTCCACTACTGTATGGCATATTGTATTCATGCTTGCATTTGGTTTTGTTTCTAATTTTTATAGATATAGAAATGAATGTGAATATCAGCAGATGCTGAAAACTACTCTTGAGCAGCTTAATAAGGTGAGTTCGTGGTATCAAACTCAAAACGATTTTCTTTAACTCTCTATGGCCTCATCTGTAACGAACATTTAGTTTCAAAGTGGTATTGAAGAAAGTGGTTTCTTTGTGCAGCTGAGTACATATTGTGAGGCTTGGATGGTGACAGAACAAAACACAGAGTGCTGATGCACATAAAGGATTTTGTTTTGCATGCTTTTGTGAGAGTATGTTCTCTGTCTGGCACAGTTTGACACTACATTTGAACTGCATTAAATGGTTAGTGTAGATTGGACCTATATCTTTCCCCTTGGCACTACGTGTGAGTGTGATGTCAGTTATTTATTTATTTATTTAGAAGTTTTGTATACCGGCCTTCTCACCTCGACGAGGGACTCAGGTCGGTTTACAGCATGTATAAAATACAATCATATAAAAAACAACAAGTACAAATTCATTACATATTAAAATAGTGCAATACAGTACAATAAAACATCATCATTACAATTACCTAAGCCAAATCGTCAATCCAGTCATGGTCATAGTCATACTCGTAGTCACAGTTCATCATAATTCATCACAAAGAGAGGTTCTAGGTTCAGTCCTCAAATGCCACATTCCAGAGCCAGGTTTTTAGTAATTTCCTGAACGTCAGGAGGGAGGGGGCCGATCTGATCTCTAGTGGGAGGGAGTTCCAAAGCCGGGGAGCCACCACCGAGAAGGCCCTGTCCCTCGTCCCCACCAACCGTGATTGCGAGGGTGGTGGGACCGAGAGCAGGGCCCCTCCAGAAGATCTTAACAAGCTTGATGGTTCATAGGGGAGAATCCGTTCGACAGGTAAACTGGGCCGGAGTCGTTTAGGGCTTTATAGGTCAAAACCAACACTTTGAATTGTGCTCGGAAGCTAATCGGCAGCCAGTGGAGCTGGCGTAACAGAGGGGTCGTATGGTCTCTGTACCCCGCCCCTGTTAGCAATCTGGCTGCCGCGCGTTGGACTGATTGAAGCTTCCGGGCAGTCTTCAGAGGCAACCCCACGTAGAGAGCATTGCAGTAGTCTAGACGGGATGTAACCAGAGCGTGGACTACCGTGGCCAAGTCAGACTTTCATTGTCCAAGTCATTGGCACCATACAGTCGGTTCTTGAGTCATTTGTTAAATCACCATTTGATAATTTATTTATTTATTGTGTCAGGAGCAAACCAACAGTTGTATTGCATTTTTTAAACAAACAAACATACATACATACAAAACACAAAGTTTGCAAGCTTGGTAGTTGATTAAATGTCCTTTGACCAGTAGCTGGGCACTTGGAGTGCCTCTGGTGTTACTACCATTTGATAATTATATTTGAGAAGTAAAAAAAATTCCATGAAAGTGACAACTGGGCACATATCATGTATTTTGTACACATGAACATTGATGCACATCTGCTCATAAAACATGCAGCCCTCGAATGAGTGTCTTCTTGATTATTTGTATAAAGATTCATTAAAAAGAAATGAATGCACAGAATATTTTCCTTTCAGTGCTTGACTTACACATTTTGCTCTTTTTCTCACAAATGTGGAGAGCCTCTGAAATACTGTACTGGGATTGTCTGCTTAAGGACCGGATGTATTTTGTATTCTCCGAGCAGCACTAACTCTCCTGCAGAAACCTACTTTCCATGATAAAGAAGAATTTTTTTTCAGAATGGGTTCTTTGAAGTGAATATTTAAAATATGCTTTCTCAGAGCTAAAGGCAATCTGGGAGAGGAAGGGGACAGACTTTATGCTGAAGAGCTTGAAAAGGCAACTGACATGCCTTCAGAGTATTTTTAAAGAATCTGTGAAATTAAAATTATATAGCTATTTTATCCTACTGCTCTATACTTGTATATGTGTTTAAAAAATTGAGACTTCCGCCCAAGCTCAATTTTGACAGCCAAGGTTTTGACTTCATTTTAAACCTACAGTTGTGTTTTTATTTGGACTTTTCCTATTTGTTGGTAGATCACAAAACAGTTTCCCCTCCAACTTGATTGTCATTATAATCATGAATCTTTAAGCTGCATTTGCTGAGGCTAGGGACTCAGGATCTCAGTGAAAATGAAAAAAATGTTTCTGAACTATAGGTATTATATACATCTCAATAAATATAATGTTTTTATTTTTAAAAAATAGCTTTTTAAATAGCGAGGACATGTCTCTAGGAATTTCTAGGCCCTCTTATAGTTTATTTATTTATCATGTCAGAAGCGAACCAAAACAGTTGTATTGCATTAAAAACAAACAAACAAACAAAACACAGACTTGGTATTCTATTAAATGTTAGAGTTACTAGCAGGGGCGGCTCAACCCATTACGCAAAGTAAGCATTTGCAGTATAGTTGATTTTGCCCAGGGGCGCTCTTGAGGTGCTCTTGGGGGAAAATAGACCTTGACATATGCAAGTTGTAGTTACTGGGATGTATAGTTCACCTACAATCAAAGAGCATTCTGAACTCCACCAATGATGGATTTGAACTAAATATGGCACACAGAACTCCCACAATGAACAGAAAATATATATCAGTAATTGGTTGGGGGGGGGGGCGCGAAAATACAGTTTGCTTACCGTTGAAAATTACCTAGGGCCGCCTCTGGTTACTAACACAAATATTGAAGTCTTACAGGAAAGTATTTCAGCTTCTACTTTCTCTAGCTGCTCTGATATAAATCAAAGGATGCTGACATTAAGTCAAAAATATTTATCATGTCAGGAGCAAACCAAACAGTTGTATTACATTTTAAACAAAAACAAACAAACAGACAAAACACAAAATTTGCAAGCTTGGTAGTTGATTAAATGTCCTTTCACCAGTATCCGACCACTTGGAGTGCCTCTGGTGTTGCCGCAAGAAGGTCCTCCATTGTGCACGTGGCAGGGCTCAGGTTGCATTGCAGCAGGTGGTCTGTGGTTTGCTCTTCTCCACACTCTCACGCAATGGATTCCACTTTGTAGCCCCATTTCTTAAGTTTGGCTCTGCATCTCCTGGTGCCAGAGCTCAGTTTTCTGTGTGCCCAGGAGGGAGTCTCTCATTTGGTAACAGCCATTGATTGAGGTTCTGGGTTTTCACCTGCCACTTTTGGACTCTGTCTTGCTGAGGTGTTCCAGCAAGTGTCTTTGTAGATCTTAGAAAACTATTTCTTGATTTAAGTCATTGGTGTGCTGGCTGATACCCAAACAGGGGGTGGGCTAGAGATGTCACTGCCTTGGTCACCTTATGGTGAACCTACTGGAAGGTGATTGTAGAACGGCACTGGAGGTCCTAACAATTCCTAGAGAAAACATTGAAATTTAATTAACAAAAGTCAAAACCACAAATGTGGAGAGCTGTCTGAATTTTCATATATTCCTAAAGTCATTCGACTTGGAGGAGCCCCTGGTGGCGCAGTGGGTTAAAGCCTTGTGCTGGCAGGACTGAAGACCGACAGGTCACAGGTTCGAATCCCGGGAGAGGCGGATGAGCTCCCTCTATCGGCTCCAGCTCTTTATGCGGGGACATGAGAGAAGCCTCCCACAAGGATGATAAAACATCAGAAATCATCCGGGCGTCCCCTGGGCAACGTCCTTGCAGACGGCCAATTCTCTCACAACAGGAGCGGTTGCTCCTGACACGACAAAAAAAAATTGACTTGGAAGAGACCACAGGGGCCATCCAGTCCAACCCCCTGTCATGCAGGAAAAGCACAAACATAGCACCCCTGACAGATGACCATCCATCCTCTGTTTAAAAGCCTCCAAGGAAGGAGCTTCCACCAGACTCCGAGGCAGAGAGCTCCACTGCTGAACAGCTCTTAAGGTCAGGAAGTTCTTCCTAATGTTCAGGTGGACTCTCCTTTCCTGCAATTTGAATCCATTGCTCCATTGAGTCCTAGTGTTCAGGGCAGCAGAAAACAAGCTTGCTTCATTTTTCTTACAACATCCTTACAAATGATTAAACGTGGAGAACATGTCCCCTATCTATCTTCTCTTCTGCAGCCTAAATATATTTTGTTTCTTCTTTTATTATTTCATATTCCAGCTTCCATAGTTTATCATTTTTAAGATTTTGATGGAGCTGATTCAACACAAAATATGTGTTTAGAAAATCATGAAAGTTGTCCAGATTCAGTGTCAAACTAAACGTGAAAGGCAATACATATTCCCCTCAATCAACAGACTTTCTATCTCAAAACAAGATTTCTTCAGTGGTATGTGTTTCGGCAATCAGTCACAAATTAAACCTGTTTTTACCATCCCATGACAAATCCCAAAACAAAGTACTCTAAACACAATGAATTTGGCTGAGAGTAAGCATATCCCATGGCAAACAGATGATTTATTGCTTGTGGAAACATGTTGCAATCAGTGTCAAATTCATTTTCATAGTCCATATATAAACTTAAAGTAATTTATATGATTGTTGTTCAGCTAAACAGATGAGAAACTCATGAATTATGTACTTTTTAAAATGAGAAGTGCAATTATATGTCCCAAATCAAGATGCTTTTTAAAAGCTACAAAAGGCATTCATAAATATTTTTTATATTTGACATATCTAGGTTCTTGTGGGTTTTTTCGGGCTATATGGCCATGTTCTAGAGGCATTTTTCCTGACGTTTCGCCTGCATCTATGACAAGCATCCTTAGAGGTAGTGGGGTCTGTTGGAATTAGGAAAATGGGTTTATATATCTGTGGGTGGGGCAAAGAGCTCTTCTCTGCTGGGGCTAGGTGTGAATGTTTCAGCTGACCACCTTCGTTAGCATTTGAAGGCCTGGCTGAGCCTGGGAAAATGTTCTGTTGAGAGGTGTTAAGATGTGCCTGGTTGTTTCCTCTCTGCTGTTTTGCTGTTGTAATTTTAGAGTTTTTTAATACTGGTAGCCAGATTTTGTTCATTTTCATGGTCTCTTCCTTCCTGTTGAAATTGTCCACATGCTTGTGGATTTCAATGGCTTCTCTGTGTAGTCTGACATGGTGGTTGTTGGTGTGGTCCAGCATTTCTGTGTTCTCAAATAATAT